TTAAGTGTTAAAACCATTTACTTTGTGTTTGTGATTGAATGAATCTTTGAATTTATGGTTTAATTGCTAGTTGGATTATTTATTCTTATTTAATTTATTTTGTCAAGTTTGATTGAAGATCCATATGTGTTAAATATTGTTGTTTTGTTTCCTATTGTTGAATTAATAAAGTTTAGATGACTATCTAGTTGTGTTAATTTGAATCATAGTTGTCCAATAACCATTGGTGATTATGACTAGAGTTTTGACCAAAACCTACGGTTATGGAATAAAGTAATTAACTTTAATGTGTGTGCATGAGTAGAATGACCATTCTCTGCATGATTTAACTCCTATTACTATTAGGGTTAAATAAGATCAAATCTTGCTTAATACAAACTGAATATTGATTTGCATGATTGTGTTGTTCACCTAATGAATGAATTAATAGTCGTGTTGAAATCAAAGGATTAGTAGTCATGACTGTAAGATCCATAAAAATCATGTCAAATTTAAACTTTTTTTTAAACATTTAGAACCCAATAGTTATTACAAAAAAAAATTTCAAAATAATATAATACCAGAGTATCCCAAAAACGTGATGTCAAAAATATGAGTTGTACGATCACGCCTTTGCCTTCCAACGATCATCTAATGTAGCTGAAACAAAACTGAAACTGTAAGCCCAAAGCTTAGTGAGTTCGCACAAAATACCCATGCATACAACAATATACATATAATCACAAACAATATATTATGGGTTCAGTCAACAATCGAGTTGGAATACTCCAGACCCTCAACCATCTGGTTGGAATGCCAACATACTATGGGTCCAATCATCCTCGGGATGGAATACCCCAGGCCCACAGCCAACAGGTTGGAATGTGCACATAATACAAGTCCAATCAACCTCGGGATGGAATACTAACAGCCCACAACCATCAGGTTGGAATGCCCATGTCTATTGGCTTTCACACAAAGCAGATAAGCCTCAACCACCAATCAAACATGTGCACATATAAAAGATAATAACATAACAATCTATAGACAAATAAACCGATCTAACGGATCATAGCAACATAATAACATCCTATCTACTTGGATATTGATCTAACATATCATAATAGCATATACCATCCTATCTACCAGGATACCGATCTAACAGACCGACCATACTAGCATAACATATCAGGATAACAATCCAAATGGCCGACCTTGGTGCCTTCGACCCTTGAGTGTAGTGAGGAAAACTCACATTGCAAACGTCAAACTGAAGTGATAAGCTCAAACTCTCAAATCACAACCACATAATCCACCACCTATATTCACCATGAAACCATTCCATAAATTTCCAATTTACCAAAATACCCCCAGAAGTCAAACTGGTTAAACCTTGGTCAAAGTCAAAATCAACGATCAAGGTCAACAATCCATGTTGACCCTACTCATCGAGTGCAGCTCACTGACTCGTCGAGTGCTTCCAGAAATCGAGTAGTCGTGAAATCCCCAGTTGACTTGTCGAGTTTCCAGACAACTCCAAAAGTCAAGAAAACCCTGCTTACTCGTCGAATCATCTTTCCAACTCACCGAGTTCATACAGAACCTTCAAAGGCTAAACTCCATCGGACTCGCCGAGTTGGCCATGCAACTCGTCGAGTCCCTTCATTGCTTTCTCCATTCAGATGATTTTAAGCCACCCTAAAGCTCTATATTGCAGATCTAAGCTCCTAAGGCATACTTCCCACATAAAGTTGCAAACTTTACGTAAATGCAAGGTGCTAATGGCCCAAATCAAGCTAAAGAAGAGGTTCTAGGTAAGGAAAATGAATTATCTTGCTAAAGGCTGAAACTTTATGATTATAAGGGCCAAGATGAGCCTAGATATGAAGTTGGAACATCAGATCATGGTTCAACACCCAAAATGAAATACCAACATGCTAAAATGGCCCAAAAACTCAAATATAGAAAGATCTAGCTAGAAGGAGATCAAGGTAACGACTTGTTACCTTCAAGTGATGCTAAAATGGGGTAGAGTTTAGATCCTCAACCGTTCCTTGCTCAAAGCTTCTTGATCTTCAAGCTCCTCTCACCAAGATCCACCTTCCAAGCTTAAAAACACACAAATATGGAAAGAAAACACGATTTAGGGTTTCTGAGCTCAAATGGGGCTGTAAGGGAGGCTAATGACCCTTTAAATATGGTGAAAGCCCCCCAGAAATTAGGGTTTCATCCTCCATCTCCAACTCGTCGATTTGTGTCCTCCAACTTGTCGAGTTGCTCACTTAAAACATGCGGCCAAATCCGTTCCTACTCGACGAGTCAGGGCATCCAAATCGTCGAGTCGACCTTTAAAAATGGAAATATAAGAATTAAAAGTTATACCTAAGAGTCCGAGTGTTACAATTCTCCCCCACTTAAACTGGACTTCGTCCTCAAAGTCCGCTACGGTGAATAACTCTGGATAATTCTCTCGTATCTCGGACTTTGGCTCCCAAGTCCACTCAGACCGTGTTCGGTGTTCCCATTGTACCTTTATCAAAGGCACCTCCTTGCTCCATAGAACCTTCACTTTCCTCTCCAGTACGGCCACTGGCATCTCTATGTACTTCAGGTGCTCGTCGACTTGTATGTCCGCCAAGGACACTACTGCCACCTCATCTAATACGCACTTTCACAATTGTGACACATGGAAAGTGTTGTGGATCAGACTAAGCTCCTCTGGTAGCTCTAGTCTATATGTCACCTTGCCAACCCTGGCAATGATCCTGAACGGATCGATGTATCGGAGACCCAACTTTCCCATCTTCCTGAAGTGGATCATGCCCTTCCAGGGTGAGACCTTCAGGAGCACCATGTTACTAGGTTGAAACTCTAACTCAGAGTAGCGTCGATCAGCGTAACTCTTCTACCGACTATGTGCGGTCTGCAACCGTTGCCTGATCTGTTGAATCCTTTCGGTAGTCTGTAGGACTACCTCGGTCCAACCCATTACCCTGTGGCCGACCTCCCACCAACAGACTGAGGTGCAACATTTCCATCCATATAACAACTCATAAGGCGGAGTTCTAATGCTGGAATGAAATCTTTTGTTGTAGGAGAACTCCGCAAGAGGTAGGTAAGAGTCTCAGCTCCCACCGAAATCAATAACGCACGCTCTCAGCATGTCCTCGAGAGTCTATATGGTCCGCTCACTCTGGCCATCAGTCTGCGGATGGTAAGTTGTATTGAAGTGCAGACGAGTTCCCAGTTCCTCATGGAACTTCTACCAGAAATGGGAGGTGAACCGAACATCGCGATCTGAAACTATAGAGACTGGTACCCCATGGCAGGAAACGATCTCGCGGATATACAAGTCGTCCAGCTTCTCGACTAATGAACTCTCCCGTATCACTAAAAAGTGAGCGCTCTTGGTCAATCGATCCACGATGACCCAAATAGCGTCGAAGCCCTTCGCCGTCCTCGACAGCTTGGTGATAAAATCCATCGTGATCTTTTCCCACTTCCACATGGGAATCTCAAGGGGATGTATCCGAACATGTGGCCTCTGATGCTCAGCCTTGACCATCCAGTAGGTCAAGCACCTCTCAACATACTATGCAATCTCCCTCTTCATACCTAGCCACCAATAACTCAAACACAAATACCGGTACATTTTGGTGGCCCCCGGGTAAATAGAGAAGCGAGACTTATGAGCCTCTTCCAATACTGTCTGTCTGACCCCACTAGACATTGGAACCCAGACCCCATCGTAACGGGTCAATAGCCCCCGGTTGTCCTGCACGAACTGGGTGTTATCACCCCGAATCTTCTCAAGCTTCCAATTCTCCTGATGTATACCCTCAACTTGCTTCGATGGTACTCACAGAACTTGGTTTTTTCTTTGTTCTCCTTGGTTGAAGTCTTATTGATTGCATGGAAATATTTGTGGCAACTTCTGCTATCATCCATGTTGAATGGTCTATATCGTCGTGACATGTGCCTGGAATGGCGGTTGTGAATCTGTTGGTTGCTGTCTTGCTTTTCTTGCTGAACCGAGCTCGGCCGGGGCGCCATTTCCTCCAATATGAGATAAGCATGGGCCACGGATTTGGATTGGCCACTTTTCATTCTTCCCCCTAGATTTGATGCAGGTACTTTTCCATACAGAACTTGATTTCATCCCTGGATCGAGGGATTGTTCCTTGCATCTTTCTTGATATGGGTCCAGGTAGCAAACCTTGGGCAAAGGTGCCTGACACCAGGAAGTCTTCATGTCCCGAGACGCTTAGGATAGCTAGCATGAACCTATCGTAGTAGTCACGGGTTGATTCTCTTTCTTTTTGTTTGCACGCCATCACGGAGTTGGTGTCTCCTTTTCTTTTTCTCAATTGCATGAAGTTATTGAGGAAAAGGTATTTCAGCTGCTCAAAGCTCGTGATACTGTCTGGCCTTAGAGACTTGAACCACTTGCCTGCGTTTCCTATTAAGGTACAAGGGAAATACGTGTAGGTGGAGCGGCGATCCATCTTAAGAGATTTCATCGTCCACTCATAGTTGTCGATGTGGTCATCTGATTCTATAGTGTCGTCATACTTTGGCATGTTTGGAATCATCGCAGTGTGGGGGATCTCGTACTGCATGAGTTCATGGTTGAAGATGGAACTTGCGCTTCACATGGGGTTGTCCATGTATGAGTATGGCATACCACCATAAGCCATGTGTTACTGCATCTAGTAGGGGCCCGCATACATCTGGTTATGTATCGCCATCTGTGAGATGTACGCTTGATACTGTTGTAGGTTAGGTTACGATCCAAAGGACTGGATTACAGATTGCCCTGTCGTGGGAACCAGATATGGGTTTTCTCTTGTGTACTGTTGTGTATACGGGTTGAACAGTTGACCAACTGTCATGAAGGGGTTGAATTTGGATACTTCTAAGAGTTTGACGCCGAATCCGTAAGGGCCACGTCCCTGGCTGGACGAAGTCTGCATGCATGTTACTTGCGACCGAGATAGTGTAGAGGTTGCACCTGGTGTCTACTATGTAAGCTGGTTGAGGATTAGTGGTTGCTGTGAAAATATCGGCACATGAGACAACCCTGCCATAGCGGCATGCGGATGGACTATCGAGGGATTCTGTGGCTGCGACTGGACTGTGTGAAGGATCCAGGTTTCGGTGCCAGAAACATGAGGGAAGGATTGTTGTTGTGATGCAAGGATATATGTTTTTTGCATTGCGATGATTTGCGAAGTTGTGGTTAAGATTGCTATTTGTTGTGTTGTGCTAGTTGTTGGGCACCATAGATTGGCTATGTAAGTTGTCGGCGTTTCGACCATCGAACTGGACGGTGTCTGTGAGGTCGGTGTGCGGTTTGAAGCATGCTCCTCTTGAATGGAGGTTTTCCCGCCATCGAGTGACTGTATTGGGCGTAGCGGGCTTTTCACTTCTGCCCATGATGTTACTAGGATATCGCCTGCCATTGTTTCTTTTTGGGTTTAATTTGTGGATGTATCATTCTAAAGATACACCCAAATGGCGCCAAATGTTGTGATACGCTGGAGAGGATAGGGTAGAACTGAAGGAAGGATCCTTGTGAGTATCTTCTCCTGTTATCACAGTGAAAAAAGAGAGAAATGACTGATAGTCAACATTGGGGAGGAGTTCCCGGGACAAAGCTCCAACGATCAAATTAGTCTGAGATATGAGAAAGCAGGTAGAAGATTACAAGAAAGAGAGAATTTCGTCCTCTTCTATAACACTCAAAATTTTCAAACAAATTTTTTCCATTTTTAAACCACATAAAACACAATCTCACATTTTTCAAAACCCAAATGTATAAGTTGTTCAAAACACTAGACAGCAAAATGTTTGATGATATCTAAGAATCGTCAAAACATAATCTCAATCTGGTGTATGCAGTCAAGCCGGTGCCTTCCCGCGATCCTGAGAGGTACGTGAAACACATTTCACACAACACTGCAAGCACGAAGCTTAGTGAGTTCCCAAAAATACCACATACACAAATAATTAGCCTATCAAGGCTATACTTGATAAGGACCCTCCGGTCATGTGTCTCAGTAAAGAGCCTCCGGTCTCACAACTCGAGTTGGACCCTCCGGTCTGGTATCTCAGTGAAGACCCTCCATTCTCACAGCTTGGGTCGGACACTCTAGTCTAGTATATCAGTAAAGACCCTCCGGTCTCACAGATTGGATTTGGGCCCTCCAATCCTATATCTCAGTAAGGCACAGAAATAACATACAACATAAATCACAAAGAAAAAATGCATGATATCATATATCTCAGTATAAGCACATAAGACCCTCCGGTAAATAACTCAAATAAGACCCTCTGGTCACATAGTATTACCACTCAGGTAAGTATAGTGAGAAGACTCACCTCGTAAGTAAGCAAGTATGTGTCGTACTCAACGGTAGGTATAGACTCCACATACATATATCATAATCATCTATACTTAAAAATTTATAATAAAAACTCTAAGAATGTTAAACTACCCTTTTACTAACTCTCGGAAATGGTGAAAGACCATTTTACCCCTCCATGGGAGTCAATGATCAAGTCAACAGTCCATGTTGACCCAAATCGCCGAGTGCATCTATGTGACTCGTCGAGTTCCTTCGTTCCTATGAAAATAGGGAAAATCCAACTCAACTCGTCGAGTTCGTAATGCGACCAGACTATCGGGGAAAACCCTAACCAACTCGTCGAGTTGGTTCACCAACTCATCTAATCCCTTCATTCCATTCCCTCATTCGGATGTTTTTAAGCAGAACTAAGGCCCCATACTCTAGATCTAGCCTTCTAAGGCTGAAATTTACCACGTAAAGCTGCAAGCTTTACGTCCATGCATGGCATCTAGGGCTAAGTTTTCCAATATAAAGCTCAATAAAGGGTTTAATGCATGAAATTTGGTCAATAGCTTGATAAAGCTTGAATCTTTTGGCCTAAGTGACCTCATATTGTCCAGATCTGAAGTCTCATCTTTAAAGCATGCTCAAACAACTAAAGGACTCAAAGAGAAGATGGAAATATACATAAAATCCCTAGTGAAGAGATCTAACTAACAAATGGTCAAAGTGATAGCTTTTTACCTCCAAATGGCAACTAAGACTGAAAGAATAATGTATCCAAGGGTTCCTTCTTGTTCCAAGCCTTTTGCTCCTCAAAATCCTTCAAAGAATGCACTAAAACATACAATCTTAGCCCCCCCTCTCTCTCTCACACACACACGGAGATGGTAATAGCTCGATTAGGGTTTCTCTCAGTGTATTAAGGTGATAAGGGAGGCGGGTTAAAGCACTTAAGGTCTTTTAAATAGGATGCAAACCATGGAAATTAGGGATTTAACACTTATCTCCTACTCATCGATTCGGGTCCCTCCAACTTGTCGAGTAGACTCTAAAAATCACACGGCCATCTCAATCTCTACTCAGTGAGTTGGGGCCTCCAACTCGTCGAGTTGCCCTGAAAAAAATGAATATAATTTAATTAAATATTATACCTGGAATTCGGAATGTTACATCTTCCTAGTGAGGAAGAAGGATCATTTTATACCTACTTTAGGGGCGTACCCTCAACCGAATTTGTTAAAGATACCCTCGTGAGGTGTGACGTAGCAGACCCATATTGGTGGGTCATTCGTCACGTGTTTTGTCTCATTCCCTCATTGGATGGGTCGGGATCTTCTAAATGTTTATGAAGATCGTGGCTATTATCTAATGGGCGAGTGGGACTCTCTGATTGTTCCCACGTTTACCGAGGTGTAACTTCCTGGCGAAGGGGTTAAGGCATGGTTCTGCACCTTAACCTCCATATCAGCTCTCTTCACATTGGCGAAGGTCTACACTTGGCTTTAGACTAGGTTCTGACCAGGCCACTAGCAGCTATGGATTTAATACCCGATGAATGAACTTTAGCAGCTATGGAATTAGTGTTTTACGAATGAGCATTGGAAGCTATGGACTTAGTGCCAGTCCTATAACCCTGGAAGCGAAGGACTTCAGAATGAACGAATGCAGGATAGATGACTCTTAGGGTATACTCCTAAGAGTAAGGAAGATAATGGGGATGGGTAATTGGGTTGATTATTTGATTGTTTAAACATAATAATTATATTATTGTAGGTTGAAAACCCTATGTACTCACCAGGTTTCCCAACCTGACCCACTCATTTTATTTATATCACAGGTGTTGATATGAAGTCACATTACACTGAGAGATTATGGAGATATAAATCACTAGTGATAATGAATGTAAGTTCTATTTATGCTTATGTTTCTGTATTGACGATGACATCCTAAATGTTTTAAAATGAATAAAAATACTTTTATTCGGAAATGCCTTGATAACGTATTTATCATTTTTACTGGGAACAAATTCCGCAACATTTTTATTAAAAGAGATACTCTGATTTTTATAAAGCATAAAAAAAATCGGTTTTTTCTGGCCGTGAAAATGGGGATGTCACAGTTGGTATCAGAGCATTAGTTTAAGCAAACTAGGAATATGGATTTATTTCTCGACTTAAACTTAGAATGCTAAGCAATGATTGTGAGGAGTGTGTCTAATAAAATTTAGGTAATACACCTGAATAGACACAAGCACTAGCTTATTTAGGGAAAATTCCTAACGTGCTTTTTATGTGGTAAATGATTTATGATGTTTTATGATGCTAAATGTCTGAACGGATCTATGGTTTGTTGCCGAGCGGATCTGGGAAATTTTATGTGTTCAGATTTCTAAACGTTTAATTACGGTATTAGAACTGGCATATAATTTTTCGAAGTAATAGGGAGATTTACACGTCGATCGTAAATAAAATCCTTCCTATCTTAATTCTCGTCGTTTCGCACCGAACGTATGAATTATTGTATAGATGGAAATGGAAAGAACCTGAAGTGGAGTCGGGAATGAAAATGGAAATGGGAACCAACAGCCCCCAGTGATTGAGCAAATACCTATGGTGGTACAAGTTGCACCCGAGTCGGTCACCGTGGCTAGAGTACAAACCATGATTCAGGCTATGTTAGCTGAACAAAGGGAGGAAATGAGGCAGATGTTGCATGAAAATAGGGACGAACCTACCATGCCCATCGAGCAAACCGAGCCGATTCTCGAGCAGTCGGAGGAAAGGAACTACATCCACCAAGTGAGTTAAGTTGGGACTCAAGGTGAACGAATGGATGGCCCGGAGAGGGGAAACGACAAGGATGGGTGAAGGTACAAGAACTTCTTAAGTCCAAGACCACCAAGTCTCTCAAGAAGCCCGAAGCCTATGGAAATTAAGGACTGGATCTCTGAGATGGAGATGGTGTTTGAGAGTTGCGACTGTAGCAATAAGCAGAAAACCGTCTATGTGGTCAGACAACTAAAGACCGGAGTCTTGAGCCGGTGAAGTTATTGGGAGATACGGTGCCCAAGGGAGAAGCAAACAAGATATCTTGGGAAGATTTCCTGGAGCATCTGAAAATGCAGTACTGCTCTGAGCAGGATCTACTAGAGATCAACAACGAGTTTCAAAACCTAAAGAAAGGAAAAATGAGCGTCACCGAGTACGCTGCAAGTTTTACGAAGAAGATGAAGCTTGTTCCTTACCTAGTTCCAACGGAACTTCCCAAGGTCAACAGGTTTGCCAATGGATTACCAGTGGACTTTGGTCCAATGGTCAAACAAGCAGCCACTTTGATAGCTGCCATCTGGATAGCCAAGAATGTTGAGACCCAAATAAGGGAAAAGGGTCTGGAGAAAGCTGAAGTTAGTGAAAAGAGGAAGTTTGAAGGATCCTCAAGACCCGATAATAAGGGAAAGTTCTCAAAGTCTATCCTGGTGGACCAAAGGAATGGAGCCAAGTGGTGTGAGAAGTGCAAGAAGAAGCACTTCGGAAGATGTGATGGAGAAGTGACGTGCTATAAGTGTGGTAGGACCGGTCACTATTCCAGAGATTGTACATTCGATAGAAAGAAGTGCTACGAATATGGAAGTGATGGACATATTTCAAAGAACTGTCCAAAGAAAAACGAAGCAACAAGACCAAATGCACCGCCAAAACCAAGGGCATTCCACATGATCCTCGATGAAGCAGACAACAACGCGAGGAATCAAGGATGAGGAATTCTTACCCGAAGATTGAGTTATGCAGTAGCCATAGTTTCGTATGATGTAGCCTAGTAGAGGCATAGTCTCGGGTGAACTTGAACACCAACGTAATCGTTTCAAGAAATAATATAAGACCTTAGTTTTGCTAATTGATGTGTTAAGTTGTTATGTGATTTTCTTGTATGGTGACTTGGAAAACGGCGAGACAATACTTGGGACGAGTATGAGTAAGTGTGAATGGTAGTAGAGGCCTATACTACCGGAAGTACAGGACTCACACTTGGATCAAGGAAAATCACAAGGTTACCAAGGAGCTAGTAATTGATTCTGTTTTATTCAAGTATGTCGTTACCATCTTTTTGGT